CAGATACTCAAGGGTGTATATCTATCTCACGAGGGATGAGTTTAAAATCCCTTTGGTGCAGACCCTGGAACGAATGTGGTCTACAAGAATAAAGTAACGTCAAACTCCGTTAGGATCTTGAAAACTAAGGTTTCACCTTTTAGTGTGGGTCTATTAGCTATTACTAAAATCTGAATCAATATTTAGATCATCAAAACATCTTAAGGACTTTCCATATTTTATGCTTATTTTATACCTGGCAAAGTACTATGTCGTTAGGTATATTGGGCTTTGTTCGTTATACAACTACCACTATATTTACAGGCTGAAATATATAAATGCTGTTTAGGATAGGGTTGTTTTAGGTTTGGTTTGGCTGGTACCAAAATACAGTTACAAAAAACCTGTGAAATCGTACGAAGGACGGTTGCTAGTATTTTATAAAGTCAAAAATATAAAAGCTATAAAATTAGTATTATGTCACTCATTTCACTTTAAAAAAAAGAATGTACTACCCTTCACTTCACTTGGGCGCGATCACCGACTGACCACGGCATAAAGTGCTTTCATAAAAAAATTGTTTTTCTAAAAAAGAAAATTTATCGTAATGAATCTATGTGTTTTTTTATAACAACCTTACATTACATTACTAACCCCTTCTTAAAATGTAGTAGAATAAGAACGGCGTATTAAAACACAAATACTGCAAACATACTAGTAGGAAATAAGATCAAACGCCAATTCAACACAAACATTTAAAAATATAAAATTAATACCGAGAAAATTTCAAACGGAAAAATCATCGTAAATAGGTAGGAGCGAAGGTTGCTAGTTAATGTTCTTACCAAGATAAATGTTAATCAATTACGTGCAGTTAGATGGATGGATAAAACAAACAATGTATATTATGCGACAGTAACCGTCGCATCGCAGACTAAACCTCCCTCAGGAGTTATCAAACCTGATAGGCCATCACGCCCCCGTCCACACTATATACTGTTGTCGTTAAATTAGCCTAAAAGCTCTCAAAAGTGGCTTCATCACCAGCTACTACCCGTTATCTTGGCTGCAGAAATTGTTTGCCGTAGCATGTGGAAAAGAATACACAAATGTCGACTGTGGGGCCTAATGGTGTGAAACAAATAATTTACGTGTTTTTAAGGAACGACGGTGTGTGTATGATCCGCAGCACTGAGTAAATTTAAAAGTGAGGTCATAAAATTGACATGAACGCTCAAACAGAAGATTAATTATGTTTAAATCCAAGTGTAGATTGATGCAATATAGGATTTGTAGTTACAAATAAGCTAGACAACTGTGATATAAAATGAAAAAAATCTTTGTTTAAACCAAGCAATAAAATTAGTTTAACTTTTCAATTTATTCTATGCATTTACGTGTGTTAAGTCCCAAAAAGAGTCCAAATAAAAAAAAAGTTTATATATCAAAATATCCTTATCAGTTGTAGCCATCCCCCAAGGCCAGGAGCGCAAATCCCCCCTCCATTTCATACGACCCCTTTTACACCCCTACGTAGCTTTAGCAAAAAGCACCCCAAGATAACTTCGTTCTGCATTCATATTAATATGCTCTCTTTATCATCGTGCCATCATCAATTCATTCCCCATAGAGAAATGCAGTGTTTAACGGGAAACTTTATTACAAAGCATCCCTAATCTTAACTTAAGCTTTGTCATTTAATTAAAATCATTTTTAAACCATCAAAAGGGTAACTAAACTAACGGTAATGGGTAGTGGAATATGAAGAATCTTGGAAAAACGAAAATATACAGGAATATGAATGATTTTTACTCAGCGAAATTGATATGTGCTTGATGAGTTTTCACAATGACGGGTATTGAGTTAAATCCACCACAGTGTATCAGAAGACAGGATATAAGCTTTATGACTCTTTGACAGTCACACAACGTGAATATTCATCAGGCGTTCTAAAGCTAAGTTTTCATTTGTAAGGCTTAGTAATGGCAAGTAAAGGCAAGTAATGTGGAATGATTATTGATGTTTCGATTTCAATTACTATTCTGTCACTAAAATACTGAAAATACATCCCCATAAATAAAGTGGAAATATAGGTGAAAACCCGATACGGCCATTAGGCGTAAACATTGATTAGTTTAACTTAACCTGAAAATATTAGCTGTGTGCCATATGGTTCGAAGGCTCAAGTCAATTGTTGATAATGATGTTTTAATGAAAATCTACTTTGGTTGCTTTCAAAGTATTGTCAACTACGGAATCTTATTCTGGGGAAACAGTCCTCTCGCAAGCAGAATACTACTTCTTCAAAAAAGAATATAAGAATAATTTATAATGCTCCATACCTTGCCCATTGTAAAACCCTTTTTGTTGAAGCAAAAGTCCTTACGGTGCCAGCAATATTTATTTTGGAATCTGCCCTAATAGTTAAGAAGAACCCGAACACGTTTCCACAAAATAATACAATCCACTTATACTCAACAAGGCAAAAACACAACATTCATCTAAATCAAGTCAACTCAAGTTTAGTAAAGGACGGACCAAAGTTTTTATCAAGCTTAATCTACAACTTGATCCCTCTAAATATAAAAAACATTGAAGATCAAGATGAATAAATTCAAGAGGAAATTTAAAGAATATTTATTGAAGAGGCCATATTACTCTGTTGAAGAATACCTAAAAGAAAAATAGTCCAAAAAAACTGACGACCACGGCGCAGCTGCGCTACCAGTGGGAGATCACCAAGTATCAAGTAAGTAAGTAAGTAAGTATCAAGTATTAAAACGGAATTAGGATTTGAAACGTTCTTTTGTATAAGTCTCTAACGACATCAAGTGTTGGTCCAAGAAAATTCTCACACGTAAAGAGTACTGTACTAAACTAGGCTACATTTTTGTCAAAACGGTGGTCGCAAACACAGTACCAGTTAAACTATGGTTTTATGCAAAAAGAAAACGAAAAAATCACAGGAATTAACGTATATTTGGATTATGGCTTAATACCATTCACATTTCAGTGAACTTGATTCGTAAAAAATACAAAAATCAAAATCGTTTTGTTGCAAAAAATACCAAAAGTACAGGGCACAAATCACTGAGGCTAAACTAAAACATTCACAGTCAACGCTAAAACTGAAAACCGTTTCAAGTAATGATGAGAGACTAGGCCCTACTCCAAGGCTACATAGCACCAATCCTTAATTTTTTTCTCAGCCATGCCTCAATATTTACAAACCATTTTACTCTTAAATTTATCAGAAAGAGAATGCAAGAGAAAAATACAAGAAAGGCAGTTTTTTTATGGAAAAATGGCATTACTGCATTATTAGATCCGATCAAATCAGATATAAGACTGTCTATATCCTATTTTGTGATAAAATTAATTAATCACATGATATATATAAGTTTTTTTGTTTGTTTGAATATTCTCTTATTGTAGTTTGGAGGTTGGCATTGCCCCATACGGGAACACAATATGCGAGAAATAAGAACACATAAATCAATTTCGACGGTATAGGACCGAGGTAGGCACTTACTTCAGTCAGCCCTGAGTAAAGAAACCCCTATAGACGATAGCTGGGTTGTCCCTGGGAGTAAATCCCATTTGCTGCACCTCACTGAATACACCATTTGAAAGTAAAATACAAAGAACATATTAATTTGAAAATATAAATAATTTATCATTTAAGACAAACACGAGATACTGTATCCTGCATATATTACTGTATCTTAAAACAAAGCAATGTGTTTGATTTTTCCATTTTAATTAAGCGTTTTCAAAAGTAAAATATAACTGTATATTTTTTTACTACAGTAAACCCTAATAAAATTGATATCATTATATGTTCATATTATATAACCATGACTGGCCGCTGTAACTTACCTGTTTTGTTTTTCTCAATGGGGGAGAGGACTTTAAAATAACAAGTTTTCATACAAGTTGTAAACATAAGTTTAAAATTGTATTATTACGGTTGGTTAAATGTTGTACAAAAACAATTTTGATACAAGTTTAAGAAAGGTTTGATACAAGTTTAAAACAATTTTAAAACCAGTCACAAAACTGTATTCAAACTGTTTTGATACAAGTTTTAAACAATTTTGATACCAGTTTTAAACAATTTTCATACAAGTTTAAAAAAATTTCAAAACCAGTCACAAATTAATATTGTTTTGATACAAGTTTGAAACAATTTTTAAACAATATTACTACAGTTTACAATTAAGTACAATTAGTCAAAAATTGTTTGACAAGCTTTCCAATCTGGGATGCCAGATCTGAGGACCTGCCTTTGATATATATAGCCCCACATCATTAACTGTAACAATTCTGACGTAACAATGAGCTCATATCACTCATTCTAATGGACCCGGAGCATTTTGCTTCTTTCGGATCTAAATAGATGTTATGATGAGATTCAAAATACAGCTGTGCAGATTTTATAATAATAAATACTTCACCAAGTCTCTTCGGTAGCTGATGTTATACTTTATATTCAGTCCAAATGCAACATTTCAATTTAGTATTTGGGGCTATAGCATGGTGGAAGGAAAATACATATGTGTTATTATTCCCGTCATTTGCTGACGTCACCCAGATTGTATTGCAAACAGAAAATCGGCTATGTATTGCCATATAAGTATATATTTGTTTTGATTTGGTTGTTATTGTTTTTTTTATAATTTTTGTAAAATGGTAAAATGGTGTTTGCAATCTTAGTTACGTAAGCACACCTGACGGGAATAGCACACCTATGTATTTTACTTCCACCATGGTGCTATAGGAATTGAAATTGTTAGGAACAACTATTAATTTATGAAGTTCAAACATTGATTGATTATATCTCCTTTCGGAGCTATAATATATTCGAAGCTATAGGACCTTCTCGAACGTGAAAACAACAAAATCAAACAGCTTCATGGTAAAAAATGCGTCGACCTAGGCCAAGCATCAACTGGCATGAACCAGGGAAGAAGAAGTATGATTAGTAAATAAAGAAAAAGAACTGCAGCTGCTTTGTTACCCCTCCTCTTGCTTTTTCTAAATAAATAAACATTTATGTTATTAATCGTCTGTGAAGTAAATAAATACTTTAGTTTTTGGTTATATTATTCATCATAACGTCTAGTTTTTAACTATAAGCAATTGGTGAGTAAATTAATTTTTTTTCAAAGAACTACTGTAGGCCCAGGTATTTTATTGTCGCCGGTCTGTTGTACGCTTAGGCTAACCATTAGATTATTTCTTGGTTATAAAAGGTCTGAAGCTCAACTCTTTAATCGTGGGGAATGGGGACTATTTGGTTGAATTAAATATGCCTATTTTCCATGTTTTTTCTCCATCTCAAGAGTATTAAACCAACTTGATGTAGCTTAAAGCTCGGTAGGTGTATGGCCTATATTATGTTGTTGTCTTATAGCCTATGTGTGTTGCCTAGCCTATAGGCCCTATTGGACATGGACATGATTAAACATTAACTTAGTTAAGCTATGTGTGGAAAACAGAATGGTAACTATAGGCTAAATGGTAGGCCTTTGCCTGTTTCTCGAGGCTGCAAAGATCCCTATTAACATGTTGATTGCTAAAAACCTTTGCACAGGCCCTCCTAAACTGAGACGAGTCCCTGGCGGAGCCCTGGCGCGCTACTGAATCAGCAGTCGCTATTGGCATAAAAATATCCCAGTTAGACGAATCACAAAAGAGCAGTGGTTATTGTTCTGTGTTACCCTGAAAGTGGACGTAGTTCACTGAAACACCCAAAGGTAGCAGCACTGTCTGGATCAACAACCAGAGTCTTTGTAATAATGGCTCGAATAGAGAAAATGCCCAAAAACAGGACAAAAGCATTGCCATGATTGGATTTTACGGGAACGTTTAGTAGGCTACCAACCTACACCTAAATAAAGCTCGTAGGCTATTCTAAGGTACAGCCTGGCAACAATCACATTGTCGCCGGCCAAGTGCTGGGCTCAGACCAGGGTTGCCACCCGTCCGGATTCTGCCGGGACATTCCCGATTTTGGTTCCTTATGTCCGTATTTAAGCCTATTTTAATCCGGGAGGGAGGAGGACAATGTCCCAATTTTTTTTTCTGACCTAAGGTGGCAACCCTGACGGACGCAATATTTGGCAGGCGAGCACACTACTGATATAGTAGCCTAGGCCGTGAGCAATGCCAGTGCCGCGCTACTGCTATAGCAGAAGGCCGCAGTCAACGAGTTAACCAGCCTGTCATACAGGGCTGTCTTAAAGTCATTCAGGTCCAGGGCACGCACATGAACCCGCAAGGAATTAAACAGCTTTATCGCAGACCGAGGATAACTCTTCAGTGAGCAGGCGAGGCGAAATCTCGGCAAATCAATGTCACAGGCGCGGCGGGTATGGTGGCTATGTAAGTTGTCTTTGTCTATAACTACAAAATGGTAGCCTAGATATTTATTTTCAGTAGGGTCAAGATGTTGAGGACATACTGGCTGTAAACTGTCAACACGCCTGACTCCAGGAAGATGGGATGACAGTGTGCTTTGTAGTCAGAAAATGTTATTTATTTCCTCTCAACGGTTACACCATTTTACAGCAAATACATGATATGTTATATGATGTTATGATATGTTATATTATCCTCAACACCTTCTTCTGTAGGCCTATATAGTATTATTGCCTGCGTCACTGGTGTGTGGCCCCACACAACCAGGTCAAATGCGATGAGACTGTGAAACAGAGTGTAATACACTGCTAGCAAATACGGTCTGGTAATGGTAACCAAAGTTTACCCCAACAATAATTTAATTTATTTTGTTTTTCAGTTTAAGATGAAAAGAGGCACTGTAATTCTAGAGCCATGGTCTACAAAAGAAAAGCTCTGTTTAGCTTCTGCTGTATTACGGAGTGGAGACCAGAATTGGTATGTATCAATAATTCCCTCTTGCTTTTTCCTTTTAACTTATTGTAAGTCCACTGACTTATGTAATGCACTCAAATGTTAGCAGCACATTGCATTTAAATAATACTAGGCCTCTAGTGGATTGATCCAAAAGTAAGTTGGGTAACCATAACCTAAGTTTAGTTGATAGTTACAAAAATCTAGCAGCCACACATCCTTTGGCCTAGGTCTGATTAATTAAAATAAGACTGTCAATTCTAAGTATTTATGGTAATTTCTTGGTGGTACATTTAGAGTGATAGACTACAAATATCAGAGATAGCGACATCATGAGTTTGCATCCTGGTGCCACCAATAAGAAAAAGTCTTAGCATGTTTAGCCTCTGGATCACGTAATTTACTAATAAAAAGGTTAAATACCTGTAGTACTGTCAGTGATCCTGGAATTTAGGTCAGCGACCCAGGTTTCGAACCTAAAGGTTCATTTTCAAGCAGGTACCAGTTAAAAACACATAATCCTCTTCATAACTGTGGAGAGTCGTTATAACACGTAAGACACGAACACGAAAACACTAAACATTAAACAAAATTGGCCAATTATAATACTGGTACGGTAGCGTGCGTGGTGTAGCCGGCAAAAGATGAGTCATGACTCTCACTGACAGTACTACAGGTATTTAACCTTTTTATTAGAAAAAGTCTGTTATAAAAAATTGGATTATGCAAAAAAAGAGGATCTTTTTTAATGAAAACTAGATTTAAACAGGATTTTAAATGAACAGATAAATAGAGGACTATCTCAATCTCTGGTTTTGATCACGCCTAAAACTCCTAATAACCAGGTATTGCAAGTGCATGCCTTTGCTTGTTCGGATTTTAACTTATTTAATTTTCTTTGAGCTAATCTATTTTTAGGCCTACTTAGATTACCTATCTACATATTTTTACAAAGATTTAGCTCTACTAAGAAGTATATTTCTGTGATGTTATTAGTAGAGAAGTTTTTTTAAAATTTTACTCATAAACCTGGTATTTTTTTCAACATTTTAAAAGTAGGCCTACGGTATTCAAACAGTTGGAGCCACGAGGAATATAGGTTTGCACTAACCTAGTGTGTAGATGTAATATAGTTCCCTGCTAATTATGATTACAGTACATTTGAAAGTTTGTCAAAGTAGTTGTAATGTCTGGGTGTGGTACCGTAGGATGTCGGTGAGCAGAGTGTTGCGGGTGTTTGGTGAGCCAGATCGTCCCTCCGAGTGGTACTCACAGAAGCAGTGTGCGCTCCAGTACGAGGCTCTCCTCAACAATGTGGGCACGACCAAGCGCAAGAAGAGAAGTGAGAAGGGGGTGGAGACAATCGACACACCAAGCGAGAGCATCGTCAGGAAACTTCTACAAGGTGCGATTGTCGTGCATGTTGACTTTATAGGTTTGAACTGGAATATGTTTTGTTGCAAGTTGGGCTTCTTTATTTGTTTATTTATTCAAGGCAATGCAACATTTTAATATTAGGGTAGCAAAATGTATTATTTGGTAACAGAATGCATACTGGTACCTACATATAAATTACAAACACAAGTAAGGTAATATGAATAATGTTATTGAGGCAACAAATTAATAATTGATACTTACAAGTTACTTAATACTTTTCAATGAAATGGCGACCATAAAAAGTAGGTAAAGTATGAATGGAGATGAGTGTAGGATAAGTGACACGATCTTGTAGTCTTGTTAGTGACTAAGGCCGACATATTCCTTAGACATAGCTGTTAATTAATAGCCTATACAGCTAATGGCAACTAAGGACCTACAGTTTATAGTGGAAACCAAACCACATTTTTGCCTTGGTAATAACAAGAATTGGTCAAATTATCAGGATAGTCGTAGAACTTACTAGTGCGAACGTTAATCCACACCAGGGAGTATCGTAGCCACAGTGCATGTCTATAAATATCAACAATAATGGAATGACGACAGATTGATACCGGTAAATTGAATGATGCAATAATAAAAAATTAATAAACCAAAAAACAACATTGTTTACTAAGATGGTTAAACGTGCCTGCAAATTTTATCTGTGCTAGTAGCAACGAGACCTCCACTTCCACACTAGGCCTAGTTCTTAAAATGTTCTGACTTACAAAATTATTTGTAAAAGCTAAATTGTATTTTTCCCCATATTAAGCTGGAAGACAAAAAAAAATCATAAATCGTTAGGTCTGGCTTTATTTTTACTTAAACTAGGCCTATACCTGATTACTTATTAGGTACGATTGAAGAATGTCTCCAGTTATATTTGATATTTATTGGTACATGATAGTATTCTCTATCAGCAACTTAAACTTATTAATGATTGGCTGGATCAAATCTAACAGGTTAGCATTGAGTCACACTGTATATCCAGGGCCTGTACCTGTCATACGGTAAGGCCTAGATGTTTTACGATACATAGACATAGGTATTCTACTTTCCATCTTTTAGTTTGAAATAGTTGGTATCTTAATGTAAAGGAGAGTATACAGGGTGTTAAGTCCCACACGGGCTTAATATTTTCTAAACGACAAAAGATAAATCAATAAGATTTAGTACATCAACAACACGACACCCAAAAATACATCAGCACCACACCTAAAAATGGACTTTCTTAAAGGAGCTAGGCCTATCAATTTTCAATTTCAATCATTTTTTTTTAAGGAACTATAAGTTTTCTGTCATATCATGGGGACTTCCAGCAAGGAGTCAGAATGAAATCTTATGAGCATAGGTTGATTTGTACATGGAATGAAAAATACAAAAATTAGCAAAATACAATGCCACAAATTAAATTTGAACTCAAACGGACAACCGAGTCCAAAATAACAGCCATTTAAAGAGTTCTTGTTTCTGTCATTTTGAATCTTTGAATGGCTGCCATTTTTTACTCAGATGTTCTTTTGAGCGCAAATTCGTGGCATTGTAATCTAGGCTACTAATAACAAATACCTTTAAATTGATGTGCATATCGAAATATGCTTACGTTACGTTTAAGATTTTCTTCAGATTCCTAGTGGCTGCCCCCCTGAGGAGGTCTCGTGTATAAGCATAGCAAATTCAATGAATCTTTGAACCACTGTCATTTTTGACTTCATCCCCATGATATAACAGAAAATTGATTGCTCCTTAAAAAAGTCCATTTTTAGGTGTGGTGTTGATGTACCGAATCTTATTGATTTATCTGTTGTCGTTAAGAAAATATTAAGCCTGTGCAGGACGTTATATACACCCTGTATTTAAATTTAGTTCCTATTAATTGAAAAAAAAAATAATGTCTTTTCACAGAACGGCAAGAAGAAGTGAACAGACTGATCGAAGAAGACAGAAAGGCCTATTTGCGTCTCTTGAAAGAAATAGAAGACATTGAAAGTGGAAAAGCTGATGACAGACTTGATGAGTTTGAGCTGGAAATTGAAGAGTAGGTTTTTTGTTAGATAAGTTACTTTTTCAAAAATAGGCTAGCTTTTACATGTTGACCAAGATTAAATTCATAAAGCTGATGTACCGGTACACATTTTTGGTCAAAAGGTTGTTCTTTGAATATTTGATTGGAGCTAATTTAGTTAGGATAAACATTTGGGGTGTGCGAGTACTCAAGTGGTTTTCCGAGTGAGTGTTTCATTTCTTGGCTCAACTCAAGCTTTTCAAGAAAACTCAAAGAGTCAAGCGATTTAATTTGTCTGCTTGAAGCATTTGTATTTGCAGGCCAAAGTATAGCAGAATCAAAGCTCGATCTTTACTCTGATAAGTTATTGTATAAATCTTATTATCAACTGACCTTAAAATACCGTATACTGAAATAAGTTGTTGAAATAGAGAATAGAAGTAGAAATTGTTTGGTTTTGTTTGGTTTTTGTTTGGTTTTGCAAGTGCAAAACTTTCCAGGAGTGAAGATGGTAACTTAGGCCTAATTAAAATAAAATGTTAATTATTGTTGACAGGCCTACTTTACATTATGCCATTTTGTAGATGTGCATATAATACTTTAATATGTTATCAAATTTCGAAATTTGTTTAAAGTTATTATTTTTGACAATTTGTACAGAGAGAAGGAAAAGGAAGCTACAAGAGGATCAATCCTACGTCAACATGAAGAAAGAAGTCGTCTGGAGGGAGGACGAGTTACTCCTTATTCAGAACCTCAGGTGACATAGTTTTCAAAGTACTAAACATTAGTTAATTTCTATATACACTATACACTACGATGAAACAAGTCCCAGACACATTTTGCATGGTAGCCATATGGTTTGGAACAGATACATGCTACTTTTACATCTTGTCTAAGGTGGCCAAATCATTTCCCAAAAAACACCGAGGACAGCTATATTGGTTCCTCCCTAGGCCCCCTACACCCCGGTCTGAATGTGCCCAGGTAGCAAATAAATTATTATAGTCCTTTCCCCCTATAATACTTGTATATACTTCCATAAATTTTTAATAGCCTACACTCCTGGGACTTTTAGCGTCCCTAGAGACCATGTGTGATGAGGAAAAAAATAGAACGATCCTGGTTCCCTGGGACATTTGGTTATCCTAATCTGGGCACATTTTGTTGATAGCATATAATCTGTTGCAGGAGACTAAAGTAGCGACTTCACCACTACTGACGAGCCTCCTGCAGAGTCCCAGTAGTTATAGGGGTGGCTCTATACAACACCTCCTCAACCCTCCTCCCCCGCCTCCGTCATACTCTACTACATCAGGTAAAGAGTAAAATTTATTTTAGAATAATCTTATTAAAATGACAAATAACTTCTTAGGTAAAGAAATATTCAGGTAGTAGACAATGTGCACACCAAGTGATTAATACTTAGTTTACTGCTGCAAGAAACATAATAAAAAATATTCAATTCAATCTTGAAGGGCAATAGTGAAGTAAAGTGATTTTCCAAATGTTATTTAACACATCAAGGCCTACAGTTATAATTTTATCTTCTAAAAGAAAAAATGGGAGATTGAGTAGCCTACTGCATTTAGCATTTTTTTATTTAAAATTCTGTTGCAGATTCACCTACGCTCTCAAGACTTCTGGAGTCCCCAGCGAAACAGATTGAACCAACAGTGCTCTTCAGCTCACCTGTTAAAAAAGGTACTTGTATTCTAAGCCTTAAAATGCCATCTGAATACAAATCTGCCTTAACAAGATACTATTTCTGAGTTTTAAAGAACACACTTGGTTTTGTCAACAGTTTATCTCGTTAAAGAATGTAATCATGTAATAGGTACCTATTACAATGAAAAAATGAAAATTTTAATTGAGACACAGTAAGTCAAGGCCATTTTCTGGTACAGACATACTAGTGAAAGAGTGATTCTAAAGCTACAACTGTAAATTACAACTGAAATTGGATCCACAAAACACCAGCTGATTTTGTAAAATCAGCTGGTATCAATTTGTTACAATTCGTCTCTTGCGTTGGATCATTGTATCATATAGTTCTAGATGATACTTAGATTGATAGTGCTGTCTATTCTTAAACTCTAGGTTGAGCTTTGTAACTTCAGCTACCTTAAGGTCATGCCACACCGAGCTCGCTACCGCGGTGGACGAGAAAAATCGCTCACTACTAGAATCGTTGTCCACCCACGGAACACTATTTCGTTGAAAATTGTGGTTGCACCAAAATGTACATCGGACGACATCTTTTTATCCTCGTTCACTACTTACTACCAGTGGCCAAGATTTTAAGGGACAGTGCTGTGATCACCGAGAAAAGCTTGACCCCTCCTACCTTAAAACTCCTACACCGGTGCGATAATTTCAGTGTGGATTGGCTCGTCGTAAAACGTCTGCTCGCTAACGTCTCTCGGTGGTAGGGGCGGATGTCAGTGTTACATGACCTTTATTTGTAGTTCAGAAACATAACCAAAGAATCATTGTTCACAAAATGTAATATGCAATGCAAAGTTTAACAAATAGATAAAAGGTACAATCTTTCCACCCAAGACGATTTTTGACTTTCGACTGTTAAAGAAATCGTTTGCTGAAGACTTTTTCTACAAGAGCAAGGTTGGTCTATTATAGATACAATATGTAAGACTAATTGATCATCTAATTGAGGATAAATGTATGTTGATCTACAATCTGTTTCAGTATGTGGGTCAACTGACTTTATTGAAAAGTGATAGAATTCTCATAAAACTTGAAAAAGCATGTATCATGAAGAACTTATTTTAATGTTTTTGTAAAATAATATGTTAGAAAAAGATATTTTTTATCTGTGTGTGTGTGTGTTTTTTTTTATAAAATTAGTTTTTTTTACAAACTTGTTATTGTTTGTGAGGTAGGCAAACTTAATAGTAAAGAATACAATACGTACATACACTTCCTCAAAAAAGTTGTGTGGGCATAGCCAAGAGATCCATCTATGATCTCTTGGTGGATTTAATTTTACATTTTGTGATCTCTTTATTAAATTTCTAATTCTAAAATTTGTTAGTGAAACAACGAACAAACCAACCAAAGATTAATGTTTGGACAAGAAAGTGAAATAGGACTACATTTTTTATATGTAATTGTTTTTTTTTTTTTACATATATATAGTAACATAGCCTATTTTTATAAATAGGTTCAGTGCGTATGAATCGGGCTAGGCAATTCTGGTTTCATAATAATCTACTTACGGTTCAGGGTTGTGGTCTATTTGGCATCATACACAGTGTGATGAACATAGTGCAAAATTACCTTGTAGGTACCGTATGTTAAGTATAAAGACCAGGTCTATATAACCATTGCATGGCATAAGAATAGATAGTGCGGCAATACGGCATACTTCTACTCACCTTGTACTTACTGAAACAACTTCACTGGTTTTTTTAGCTTAGTTAAGCTTAGTTAGGTTAGGACAATTTTTTTATTAAAGATAATTAAAATCTTATTTGGAAGTCGATTTATTGGTGTGGTCGGTCCTAATACCAAAGTACCAAATACTAAATCAGGTCTAAATGTTAAGTGCTTGAACACCACTTTGACAATACAAATTTATTATTGCAAGTTTTTTTTCATCTACTTGGTTCTAGCCTTAAATGCCGTCTTAAACACTGTAGCAATGTTATATATTGAAACAGTATTGAGCTCACGTTTGCGGGACTGAAAATAAACTGGCTATCCAAGCCTCAGACCATTCCTGCAACAAAGCACCCCATTGCTGCTGCCGCAACGGCTTAAAATTTCAGTCCCACAAACATGAACATCGTAAAGTACGTCAGTAGGTTGCGACGCTCTTTTCTTGCACTGGAAAAAAAATATTAAAAGTGCAGTTGCAACCGTTTGCTGGGGATAGCTCAGCCTACAATGGCTGGGTAAAGTTCCAGGGTCTGCGATAAGGTCAGGGAAACCACTAGGCCAAAAGCCGGGTCTAACCAGTATAGGACTGGCTGATACACGGGCACTGTGAACAAGTCAAAAACAAGTCACCAAAACAAATGTGCAATAATCACCACCAGACCTAAGCCAATTCTCCACTCTCCTAGGGGGTCGTTGCTGACTACGCAACTCGGGCTTCGTCCTAACTAACCAATAGTTAAGCCCAGAGTGCCTAAAACACCGTGAGTTACACGACGACTTGCCAATAAAAACCACAACGCGAGTTATCACCAGGCGGGGTCTACTAGGCCACTATACTGTCCGCGAGAGTAAAGAAGTCCCTTGAGCCAGAGCAATACGCAGCTATGTTTGGAGAGTATCGCGCACTATTTGCAGGCGCTAAGCATCTGGTCGCCTCGCCTCGATGTCTGTCTGTAAACAACTGTTGTAAACATAATTACTCATATCTTTGTTTTGGTAAGTGGATTATCATCATGTGGTCACGTAATTTGATTCATTGCAGTCTCGTGTGTTCGCGTTTTGTTTTGGACGGTCCTTGTAGCTATTGATTATGTATATAATTGAAATTGAAATGCAGCTATTGAAATATAATAGAAATAATAAGTTGTCTATTGCGATGAATGCTATTGAAACTGCTGTACTTGTGTATTACCGGTAATATGCATTCACCATAAGTATATTCATGGATTAACTAATTATTTGGGTTTAATGCTTTCAAACTCGGATTTAAAAAAGATTTTATTGTATTGTATTTTATTGGTATTGTTACATTTAACTAAACAAAAATCATAAAGTAGAAAGGTTATTAATTTGCCTTAGTAACACTAGAAAGAATTTCCTTCGATTGTATGACTATGCAAAGAAATATTATGACATAGATTTATAAAAATCATACAGATATTAAATACAAAAATTAAGCCTTAAAACTAGCAGAGCAGCGTCAAGACGGCTCTACAGTGATTGTCGCGCGAAACGTTCAAGCGTAACACCTTCAAACTACGAATAGGCCGGAGCTCAGGGGACTTCTTTACTCTCGCGGACAGTACTTCAATACACAACTCTAATGCCCAAGCTAAGAATCAAACAGTTCACTCAGTAATAATACCATAATAGTACAAGTATACTATAGGCAGAGCGACTACACCTCTAATAGCTGGTCTCAATAAATACCAAGCCAAACAAGCAAAGCTAAATGTCAATTGCACTACTATTAAATTATTGAGCTACTTAGTAGCAGAGAAATAAATATTAAATACTTTCCAAACACTAGATAAATATATTATCTGATAGCCGGTACTCCGCTATCCAAGCTACCAAGACAACGTGTTGGATTACTAAACAAGCTGTTCAGGTTGAATTAAAATAATTAAATGATTAATCAATAACAACCCTACTGCTCCTACTGCTACTGCTACTATATACTATATACAACGTTATACTACTTAGCTGGGCTTCTGTTAATCGGCTAATAAAATTAGCTACTAGCCTACTGGCCACGTGCTTCCAACTACGCACGCCAAATTGTGCAGCCTAGGTTTGTCGGGCCTCACAGTTATTAGTAAAATAACTAACTCTTGTAAAACGCAAAATAATATCTACTACAGTCAATAAAATATATTATTTGCGATTTAGCGCCTGCCCAGAACCGTCAGAAATATTCTTAAATATTATTCCTGGCACCTGTAAATCCTAACTACCGTCAGGCTTTGACCAGCACGGTTACAACTCAACCAATAAAATCAGAGATGAATGTTTTAGTAATAACTATCAACTCTTAAACCAAAATGTAAGGAACGTCGTCCACTCACCAATAGTGGATCTGTTCCCAACTTACACCAACACTCGGCGCAATCACACCACCAACGTACTCCGACACCACTGTCACTCGTACACTCCTCTCTAGGTACACCACCGACGTATCCCAGTCGTCTCCACAGACAGACACCAACACTACCTCTTCCTCACTGTACGGGATCCACCACTAGAATGTCCGTCCTATACTGTCCGGTAGTTCCAGGATACCCAAGCTTATCCAAACTGATAAGCCGGGTCAAAGGGCGCTAGCCAGGTTCGTCGCCACCACTTGCTTATCTCAACAACCGGTGCGCGGCCAAATAGCGAAAATTTACCCCCCTAGGAAAAATAACTCGTTACACCGTGATACAGTCAATAGTCATAACAAGGATTCAACGTAAGCCCTACTATTTATTCTTATGGATCAGCTGAAAACAATCCTATTTCAGTTATTTTATACCTCGTTTAACCAAAGAAAACAATCTCATCATACAATTGCTCAACCCCTGGTTATATAGCAAGAAAGTACATAAATAGATAGTAGATAGAGCGTTTATCTAACATTTTGTCATGTAGTGAACAAACGATTTGATCGCGACATGAAAAAGGCGCAGCAGCATTTCATATAAAACAGTATAAAATATTTATTTATTTATATTTGCATTTATAACCATATTTATTCATGTAGGGGAGTCAATTCAGCCTACTTTTAACATGACTAGTTAACATATTGCATATTGGTTTAGTTTGTACAGAGTGTCCATAAAAAACGTTTCAGGACTTTGGGAAATGAATCCCCATACTTAAAGGAAGAAAAAGGTTTATGGGAAGGTATGTCCCAAAATGCATATTAAACCAGATATCCGCCATTTTGTTTTTTATACATACAAAAATATTATTATCTGTGAAGTTTTTTATTCGATGATTATGAAATTTGGTAAGAATGTTAACATACTTAAGACCTATAA